GCCCGGGGCTGCGGGGAAGCGTTGGAGGCACGAGGGGAGAGGGGGAAGGGTGAGGGGAGCCTATCAGCGGGCGTGGGCGAGCACCCCCGGATGGGTCTGGAGATCGCTCACGGCACGGTCTTCCTTCCCTCGCAGCGGTTGCACTTGTGGTGGCATCGGGTGCAGGTTTTGTGGAGGATCTAGATGAGTCGTAAGTACTGGGGTGTCTTGCCTTATTGCTTAAATATTGTCTGTCTCTTTTGGGGGGTGTGGGGGGGTGACCCTAGGCTGACAGCGTTGTGTGGAGTGTGGTGGTCAAGAAAGCTGCGCTGGTAAAATTTGTCTTAGCTGGAATGGCAGACAGATTGTGGCCTGTATTAAGTAGGTGCAATTAATGAACGCTTTAATTTTGCGATTTTTGGTTATTATGGGTGCTGGTGCCAAAACGTTCTCAGGCTTCCGTGCCCTTTTCTTTCGGTTTGGTGAATATACTGGTGGATCGATGCCTGTCCCAAATAAAAGCTGATTGCGTCTAACCAAATTCTTCATTAGGGTTTGCTGCCACAGGGAGAACGGGTATAAGTGCATCCATGCATGGCTAGAGACGGAAGAGAGAGGGAGGCCTGCAGGGCTGGTTCGTGGCTGCTTGAAGTGCCGATTATGTTCCAGTGTAAAAATGTGCTTTCACAACAGATTTAGCCCTGAGACTGTGGAGGTTGCTGAACTGGGTAGTCCTGCCCTTACCTGGGTTGTGTAGTGTCATTTTTCATGTACTGCCTTGCTTTAGCAGTTTGATGGCTACGTACTTGCTGTTCCCAACACAAAATAACCTTTCAAAAATAGAATTTTTTTTTTTTGCCAGATCAGCAGGTTGAGCTAAAGTGCTACAAAGCAGCACGATTATTAGAATTGAAATAAAATACTTGCTGATAGGGGAGGAGAAGGTGGCGTCAGATGGCTGTGTTATGATAAATTTAAGCGAGTGAAAGGCAATGTTTTCATGAGGGTTCAGTCCATGATAAATTGCATCATAGAGCTAAACAATCAGACAACCGTTCACTTTTTTTGCCATATTGCTTATTCAGCTAGAGCAGATAATCACAGGATCAAATGAGGCGCGGGGGAATTATGGGGCAGGGAATGGGAGTGTACAGAAGGGGTGCTGAAGGGAAAGACATCAGCATCTCTGACTCGTGTTTAAAATGCTGTGGAAAAGCAACTGAAGGAGAGGAACAGCTTGGACTTGATTTTCAAAGCTTGTTTTTGAAATGTGCTTCATATTTTCAAGGGCTGAAGATAAAGAGGCTTAGTGATTAAAATAGCATGTATCTGTGCTCCTGCATCATGTTGCCATCGTGTGTTTCCACAGGTGTAAATTTAAATGTAATCGCTGTTTTGGAGTGAAGCAGCATAATTCTGTAGTCAAATAACTTTTTTTCAAATGGCTAATAAAAGAAAATCCTGTTTGAGAACATTTGGGATTTTTCAACTGCAAAACTATACAGATGCCTGTAGTTGCAATTGGGAGTAAGAATTAAATGGTTAGTTGTTCAGGATAGTGTTGGGTTTGTTGTTTTTTTTTTTTTTAGCTAGCTGACAGGTGGTGAGAAAGGTCAGGAAAACAATTAAAAAAACCTGAGAGCAGTGACTGGTGAAAGTTTCAAGTTTTCTATTTTATAGATATCTAAACATGGAGTTTTTGCTATTGCTGGAAACTGTGGGTTTTATTTGAAGTTGAGTAGTTGCAAACAATGCCTGCTAGCTCAAGGTGCAGGTCCCTTTCTCAAGCTGGCAGGAGACAGGAAAACAAGCTGCAGAGAAGAAGTAACAGAGGGGCAAGGTGCCCAGCATCGCCCAGGGGGGCTGCGGAAGGGTTGCAAAATCCAAGCTGTGGTTCTGTTCAACTGGTGCTGGCCTTGCTGCCGCGGATCAGTGCTCACCTTGCGGTGTTCACTGACTTGTTCCAGGGTGATGACGAAGCTGATAAGTAACTTGACTAAAAAAGGAAATACTTTTCTGCCTGTGAGGAAGTGCTAGTGGCTCAACCCAGAACCAGAAGCATCAGAAGTGGTGCGAGAGGGGTGAGAAGGGAGACAGGGAGGAATAGAAACAGCAGCTGGGTTGGTTTAAGGCCCTTGGAATTGTGACCTCGGTCTTCAGTTTTGCTTCATGCTGGTTTCTTTTAACTGCTAGTGATTAAGTGGGCTGTGTGGATTAAGTGGAGGTTGAGGCAACATTTGGTCATGTAGTGCTGAATGTTGGGAAGCTGTATGTGTTTGAGACAAACAGTTTTGATTCAACGATGTGCAACACCTATGTCATCTTTCCACCAGTGAGGTTGTGTCTGTGTCAGCTGACAGAGGGAGCTTTGCCTAGGACAGTTGAAAAGAGACTCTGGGATCTTATGCTCAGAAATGTATTTACAGGGCCTAGAAACAGCACCTGCAGAAAATGCTTGGGTAACTGTTTGTACAGAGATTTCTATTTTTCTTGACCTTTCTTAATGTTGTCTAACAATTTAGTCACTGATGTTACCAAAACTAGAATGAGATTATATGATTGATTTCTGTCACACTTGAGGTTTTAGTTTCTGTGGAAGTTCATCAAATAAGTGCTTGTAAATGGGTGATACAACTTGGAATTTACTATTGTAAAAACTGCGGGGTTTTTATAATATCTTAAGCCAAAGTTACTAGATTCTTGGAGTGTTCTGCCTACAGGTGTTTCCTTACTTTCCGTCTTTTCCTTGCTGCCTGCTGGTTTTGTAAGATTTCGGTCTGCCTTTCTCAGTGCCCTGATGATCCCTCTAATCTGCTGTAACAGTTGTACTGTGTCAGGGGGAGGAGAACGTTGCATTTTAAGTTTTTCTGTTATAGACCAGAGGTGATATTCTGCATGGAAGCCAGGCCCAGGATCTGAAGATTCGGTAGCTGCTTTCTGCCTCTTGCATCATAACCAATTAATTGACATTGTAATTGGAGGATAGCTGAGGCTTCGTTAGAGTTCTCAAGAGATACAAGACTCTGACTAGCTCTTTCGTTAGCTCTGCAGCACTTTGGGTGGTGAAGTAAACTTTTAGTGAAGTGGTCAACTAAGCAATTTTGTGACTTAAAAATGCTGCTTTCCCGTAGCAGTTTTCTGTTAGTTGTTGCAAATACCTGTCCTGCTGTTCAAGCGTTACAGCCTTGGTATGCCATCAGTAAAACAAAAAAGGCTTGAATTTACCAGTGAAATGCTGCAGTTCTGAGTTTCAAACACTCAGTGCTGTAACTAGATTATATTAATGATTTCTGAAGGATTTCTTTCAAACGGTAGGCCAGCGTCAGCATTAGTATTTCTTCGAGACCATTATGGACAGTTACAAATCTATTCAACTTTAAACAAAGTATAATAAATGTTCTCTGATTCTGCTTGCTGCCTGTGAGGCATTCACAGGCGTGCTGCGTATTGGGAAATGGTGCGTTGGGCTATAACTTCTCTTAATTGGATCTTAGAGTGTAATCACATGCTTATTGTGTAATTATATATATATATTCATCTCCTTTCACAGTAAGAGTGTTACAGTAAGAATGTTACAGAATGTATTTTATAGCACGTGACATTACTCCCAGTTTTAGCCAGCTTTACAAAGCCCATGTTTTACAAAAACAAGCGTTACAGTAAAATTCTGGTTTATCGAATTCTGAACATAGAAATAGTTATGTAATGCGGTAATTTCCGTGATCTTATAGTGGGAACAGTTCAGTGAAGTGTGTAACAACATTTCAAGAGGTACTAAGGAACATGATTTATCATGTTCTGTTTTTGTTTTAGAGGTTTTAGCATTTAGTGATAGATTTAGAGTTAATAAAACTAGTCGGTTCATTAAGATATAATTTGTCTAGCATTCAGACTATTCAGTAGTACCTGCGTGTCTCTGGTTTTTCAATAACTTGAACATTTTTGTTCCAATAAGTTGGTTTCTTGTGTGCACCTTTGGTAAGAACGTAAACCGGCACACGTGTAGCAGAATATTGAAGGAGGTTGAATTAAAATTGCTTTGTGTGTTAACATTGGAGACAAATTAGTTGGTCTGCATTCAGTAAAGCCAGGATTAACAGCATGAACCAATGCTCTAAGAGTCCGTATTCACTGATCTATGAAAATGCAACATTTTCTGAACAGTCAACGACAGCATTTAATGTAACTAGAATAGCTGCAAAATACCTCTTCCCCTTAGATTGCATATCCTAATCAGAGAGCTTTTGTGTGTTTGCTGGTTTCTTACTGTTTTTCTGTTTTGTTTTGGGTGGGGTTTTTTGGTTGGTTGGTTGGTTTTGTGACTTGGCGAATAGTTGTACAAACCTAATTGCTACCACCGTGTATGTGGTATCATGTGTGGGGGCAATCCTAATACTGGGAAATAACTATTTCCTTCCCCGCCCCCAAAGAAAGAAACAAAACAGAATTCTTGTTTCCATAGTTTTGTAGAAACTTGACCATAGACTTCACACATGCGATTCGCTTAGTTATTTTCAGATCTATCATATATTGATTTCATTTTTTTTCCTCTCCTAGGTTTAAAGAAAACCGTAAAGATGATATTTGGCTCGTAGATGTGAGTATGTGAGAAACATGGGAAGACCTGCTGGTGGAAATGAGAACACAAAATGTACAATGTTCCAGTGTCAGAAAAGTGTTTGTACATGGTGCAGAGAAATTACACGGCAGTAATTCTTCTGACAGGATGGATAAGCAATCTGCCTGTATTGTTCAGGATGAACTGGGAATTAGACTGAGTACTGGATGCAGACAAGCTTCAGCCTGTGTTTTACAGTCCCTAAAAAAGGAAAGCTCTGTTTGTTACTCCAGCTTTGTAATGAGCATGCAGTTTGATTAAGACTTAAAGAACACCACGACTGGAAAATAAGCCTTGCTAATATATTTCAGGGTTAATCATAGAATCAGCTTCTCTTAATTATTTCTCTTCATTAACTAATTTTTTTTTTTTTTTAAATCAAATGTATTTGCTCCTCAGTTTTATGCACCTTGGTGTGGCCACTGCAAGAAACTGGAGCCTGTATGGAATGAAGTGGGTATAGAAATGAAAAACATGGGGTCTCCAGTAAAAGTCGGGAAGATGGATGCAACTTCCTTTTCTAGTAAGTGTGGTTTGGTTAGGGGTAATTTCATGGCAGTTTTTAAACCTATACATTCTTTTCATGAAGTCATGCTTCTGTTCCATACCATAGCGAAGGTATGCAAACAGTCACTGGAGAACAATTTCCTGATCTTTTTCCTTTCTAGAAGTAGTATGCATTTTTTATCACACTTGTTTCTGCTAATGTAGGGAATTCTTCTCGGCAAATGGGAGGTAAAAGCTTTTCAAAGATCTGCTTTTGATATGCTGCTGTGAGTAGCGTCACACAAGCATCTTTATGTGTGCATCTCTTGGCAGCATCCAGTTTTAGATTCCTTGTAGTACTCCTGGACAAATGCTTGTGTTCTTGCCATTGTTGTTTTCAGGTGATCAGTCCTGAAGGTGTTATACCAAAAGCCTGCTGAAATCGCTGAAGTCATTACATCAATGTTGAGCCGATTTCTCCCTGTGTTTCTCTGTAAAATGTCTTCTTGAAGAACCAATTTCAGCTATTTTAGTGCTTTCTTTTTGATGATGCCTTTCATGAGTAATGACCTTTTCAGAGAAAACCCCAAATTTTCATTGTTCAGAGAAGTGGTTTGGGTAGACATGAGAGGACTGTTGCATGCTTAACAGTATTTTCCTCGTTTCAGCGTGCTTTTTTATTGTCGTTTCACTTAGATCTGTGTTGAACCAGGAGAATATTTAAGAGGGAAGGCATAGGGAGCAGTGGGGCCCGAGTATGTAATAAAACTCTGTTAATACACGTGAAGTTTTTAATTAATACCTGTTAAACCTGATTATTCAGGATTGTTATATTTGTATAAAATATTATGCAGGATACTTTTTTCAGTGATATCCCAGTTTTTCTGTGCTTACATACAGCAGAGTTTGATCTTTTGAGATGAAAATGGTCGTATCTCAAACACTAATTTATTGTAGGTAGCTTTTCCTGTAAAATCACATAAATTTGATCTCACGTTTCATCTTAAAGATACTTATTTGCTAAACAAAAATAAGACTGGGGAGTTGAAAGTTTCAAGATCATGCAAGCAGGTAACTTCAAAACTGGGGTTAGGTTTGGCAGAGCTCTAACATTCCAGTCATGTATATAAAATTCTAAATTATATAAATTGTATAAACTTTTACTGTGAAACACTTGTGTCTGTCATTCTGATACTAAATTTTTGTATTTGATGCCTAGAACATAATTGGCACTTTGTTTTTTTTTCTAAAATTTGGGTTTGCCTATTTAAAAATTACTAAAACCCGGAAGTGTTCCTTTGTGCCCTGGAAATGTTTATATTCTCAGTTTTGTGGAGAACAGGGTCCGATAAATCTTTTGAAGTAGTTTCATGTTTTTATTTTGAAAGTGGAAATTTTACAACATCTGAATATGAAAATCTCAGTCAACTTGTCTTAGTGTCTGCTCGATCTAGAAATTCTCTGAAATCAGAGTAATTCGGTCTTGAGAATGTCAGAAGGAAGTGCAGCTGGGCTCACATGCATAACTAGGAAGAAAGACGGATGGTTGGCTCTGCATAGTTCGTGTTCCTAATGGGAATGTGAATTAGTGTGAAAAACCTGAACTTTGGGTGGCTTGTTGTCAGAGAGTTGCGATCACAACTGAGCATAGAGGGCGTCCAATCAGTGTTGCTTCTAGTAGCTGTGCGGAGTGAGGATACAGCAGTTTGATCAGCAGAACAGTTACCTGGTGTGGTATCACTTGGATTTTCGTGGGGGTTAGGCTCAGGAGTCCGCTGAATGGGGTCAGAGTAGAACTAGGTCACATCTGGGTTCAGAGTCATTGCTGCTGTTCGCCAGTACTGCAATCCTCTTCTCAACAAGTGGAGGTGGTGATGGAAATGATCAGTCACTTCCGTGATGTTGAGAGGATTTAAGTAATCTTCATGGCTGGATGTTTCAAAAAACATATTAAAAAATGTCTATTTTGTATTTCTCCTGGCTGTGCTCAAGAGCTGTACAAGGAGAAATTAATTGCCTGTCGACAGCTCTTGTGATCACATGTTCCAATACGCATTTTAAGGCATTCTAGTCCTGTGTGGTACAGCTGTGAGAGAAGAAGGTCGGAATCAAATTGATCCCAGCACGCATATTTCTTAAATCAATCTCCTTTGACTAAGATGCCGGTATGTGAGCTGCTAGTTTTATTTGTAGTTCTGTGCAATTAGGGCTGTGATCCAGGCAAACAACCTTAGGATCACAATTTCTAAACTGTTGTTCGGAGCCCTGCCCCCAAGTCCTCCCCCATCTGCTGCTCTGGTGTGCGGCTGGTAGCTTCAGAAAGTTGATGCTAAAAGCATTGAATCTTGGTGCATTTTGAGTGCAGGGGTTGTTTTTCAGTAGGGGATTGCACAAGAATTGTCAGAATTTTAAGACTGACTTTAGGCTTTTTTGAAGACTCCTTTAACTTTTGTAAAACACCGAATTGACTGGAAGGAGTGGTTCAAGGCGGCAGTTGCTATGTTCATGACTGGAAGGGCGGTTGCAAATTGCACCCCTCTAGTTGGTGGGAGCAAGTTACAAAGTTTTAAACAAATGTGAGATGGGGGAAGAAGTTCTGCAGTTGTCTCACTTTTTACCACTTTAGTAAGCAGCAGGTAAGTAACTGATTGCTTAGGAGGTGTCTATTTCTGGTGATGTTGATGACTGTAGACATTTACCTCGTCAGAATATGCTTTAAAAACTGACTTTTTTGTAACTCCTGCAGTGTGATACTGCACTTTTCTTGCTACCCACTACTGTAGCACAGGAGTAGTTAATTGACCTTTTTATTTCTTTTAAGCATTAGTATTTACAATTCTACTTCCATGGTGCTTGGCTCTTGCCTCTGATATTTTCAGCCACTTGTATGTGCGTGTTAAAGGCGCACTCCCTTTTGGTGAGAACTGACCAAGCATGTCTGTCTAGAGGATTCTTGTGCCGTTTGACCAGTGGTGTATGGATTGAGAGCCTGTGCTGGGACCCCGCAGTACCTCTGATAGAGGTCTTGAATTTGATGATGTAGCTTTATAACAGCAGCTGCTTGAAAGCAAGTAAAATAATTCATACTGAACTAAGTGGTAGGTTTTTAATTTATTTATGTGGCTTGAATAGTAAACTCTGTTGAAAGGTAGGAGAGCAAGAAAGTCTTGATTCATTTTGGCATTAACACGTGTCTTTCAGGTATCGCGTCTGAATTTGGAGTGCGAGGCTATCCAACAATTAAGCTGTAAGTTGATGCTTCCCGTGGAGTTTCTAACAGTTACCTATCCTAGCACTGATTTTGTGGCAGTAGAGAAATAGTCCACTTAAAAATCCCAAACAGACAAAGCACAAAAACGCCGCAAAACCCAACCCAAAACCAAACAAAAATACTTGACTGTCTCATTTTGACATTATCTTTGATTTCTACTGGACTGTTTTGCTTTGAAATTCAGTATTATCGAGCATCTTCTTTAGAAACAGAATTCTTAAAGGCAGGTTAGCAGATTTGGAATTAATTTAACTGCTGTTTTTTATACAACTTTCTAAAAGTCTGTGTATGTGTATTTCAAATATATATATTAACTTACTATTATTGAAAGGAATTTCATGCACCAATTGATTTGACACCTTTAGAGTGATTCAGACAGTAAGTGCATACCTGACTCTTCCCGTTAACTTCTTGTGAGCTGCTGATTGCATTTTCTTATTTTGAATTCCCTCTCTCTTCTCTTCAGTGTACCTGGAAATCTTATGTAAGTGACAGCAGTGGTTCCTATATAGGGTGAAGTGTGAGAGCGGTTGTTTGACAGGAGAAGTATCTGTAGATTTTTTTTTAGGGAGGACAAAATTTATAGGAAAATACCAGTCTGTAATGGCACTATATGTGCTTCCTTATAACTTGCATAGTGTATAGTCCAGTACGAGATCATATTAAAGAAAGACTTGATAGTTTTGAGTACTTTCTACCGTGAATGTACTGGGTTTGTTAGCAGGTTATTGTTTAAGCAGAATAGTATTCATAATGCATAATAAATCTTGTCAAGTTAGTTTTCTCAAAAAGGCATCAGAGAAGTTTGGTTTATTCATCTTTAAGGATGAAAAACTCCAGAGGCATAGAAAACTCCTCAGAGGCATAGAAAATTTGGTTTCTGATTACTTTTTTCCTGTGAGTTTCCTAAACCTATATGTATTCAAGAAAAGCCTGTTTGAATTAGTAAAACTTCCTTGAATATTCTTAAATGCAAGTGTGCTGCATCCCCTGTCAGCAGAGTACAGTAAACTGAGCAACACTTCATGGAAGCTTAATTTAATACATAAATTCAGGAGGTTTTGCGAGTCATTTAATACTTCTCAATTACAAAAAAGCATTAAAGAAGTTTATATATTTTACGAGTCTTTTACGAGGACTAATCCCTAAGTTATGTAAATGTTGAATGTTTGGGATTTCGTTCGGGTGTGTGGGATTTTTTTGTGTAGTCATAAGGAAATGTTCCAAATGAGCTGTGTGTTTACAAAGTAAATGACTGCTGTGCACTAGAAAAAAAATAATTGTAAAAGAACGTTAATTATTTTTAAGAGTTGGTAGATCAGATTGTGTATATAAGTTTTTACTCCATAATTGCATTGTATTGCATTACTGAGTTTTATGTTTTGCTGACCACTTCTTTTATCTGACTGTTTGAAAAATTTACCTTGCTTATCACTGGCTAAAAGGTGAGTGTAATAAACACGTGTAGAATGAATAACTCTAGATGTGCAGATACAGTTTAGTTGATTTCAATTCTGTTCTTTTTTTTGTCTTTCCTATTTACCTAGCTTAAAAGGTGACTTGGCATACAACTACAGAGGACCGAGAACCAAAGATGATATCATTGAATTTGCTAATAGAGTGGCAGGGTAAGTGTACTTTTCTGTGACACTGGTTCTGGTGACTTGAAACTTCTGTAGGAGTTTGAGGTGGGCCAAAAATTACATCTGTTTCACAAAGAACAAGACGTTGACATGAAGTTAAAAACTACATATACAATACACGTGGTTGCATGTGAGACTGGTGGTGAGTGGCACGGAGAAAGTAAGAAAGAGGCTGGCTAGTCACAGTCCCTTTTACAGTGCAAGAACGAAGGGCTCTTCAAAGTAATGGAAACGAGGAACAAATGAAATGTGTGGAAGCCATGAGTTAGTTCTTGCATGGGCCAGAATACCGACCTAAATGTTGGCTGATAGACAGACATCAGATAAGGCAGAATCTGTTTAATACTTGAAAGTTATCTTAGAAATATCAACTTAATATATGCTTATGCATCTGAAAAGTTGTGGCAATTGGCAACATAAGGAAATTGCCTTTACAGGTTTGTTCGTACAGTTTCTGTTGGCTTTTGCTTCCTTCCCTACCATGGCCTGTGGCCTCAAAGTGTTATAGACAGTAGTCTTTGGGGAGAAAAAAGGAATAATTTCTTTCCTTCATTCTTACATATAATTAAGAAGCATTCATATAGGAACATAATATTATTGTTCAGAGTTTTGTAGTTGAGGAGCATCAGTGATCTCTAGTAATTTACCAGAGTTGTGTAAGATGATTTATTTCTAAGACCATATTTTCTAACTGCTGTGCTTACACTGACAATTTTCTCTCTGAAATGGATGAGACCTTATTGTGGCCTTTCACTATATGAAGAGGGCTTATAAGGTGGAGAGAGTCTTTTATCAGAGACTGTACTGACAGGATAAGGGGCAACAGTTTTAAACTGAAAGAGGCTAGATTCAGGTTGGATGTAAAGACGACATTTTTTGCTATAAGGGTGGTGAGGCACCGGCATAGGCTGCCCAGACAAGCTGTGGCTGCCCCCTCCCTGGTGGTGCTCAAGGCCAGGCTGGATGGGGCTGGGAGCAACCTGGTCTGGTGGAAAGTGTCCCTGCCCATGGCAGGGGATTGGAACTGGATGGTCTTTAAGGTCCCTTCCAACTCAAACCATTCTGTGATTCTGTGGCTGGTAAATGTCATGCATGTTTACATCATAGCAGCATTTTGTACCAAGATATTAATCTCAAATCTAAATGTGCTATTTGAGGAATGTGACAAGTTTATTTTGGGTGGATTTTTAGTTTTTTTGCTTTTAGTTGAAACTAAAATAATAAATTGAAAAATTAAATTAATTTGCATTGGGGTATCTAGGTTTGGGTTGGTTTTTTTTAAATACAAAAAACTGTATGGCATTTTCTTGGATTTTTATTTGTTTGGGTTTTGCAGCTTGCAGAAACTGAGATTGTTTCTTTCTCTTTTTTTCCCTCCTCCCAGACCTCTTATCAGGTCACTTCCTAGCCAGCATATGTTCGAGCATGTGCAGAAGAGACATCGTGTACTTTTTGTGTATGTTGGTGGTGAATCTCCTTTAAAGGTTTGAAGCTTGATTAAAGTTACTTATTTTGTGTATTCAAAGGTGTAGTTTAAAATATCTTCTAAAAGAATGAAGTGCATGCTTGTAATAAATTCTCATTTTCTTTTACACTTATTGAAGCGTTTTTACAATCATGTCATAACTGTATTTTCCAATTACTCTTTGAAGATAAAACATGTCACAAAACTTTTGCTTGAAGCACACTAAAAGTTCAGAAATAAAAAAACATTGTTTATATTTTTGCAGGAAAAATATATTGAAGTTGCTTCAGAACTAATAGTTTATACATACTTTTTTTCTGCCTCAGAAGATGTGCTGCCTGAGGTAAGCTGTTTCAGTTCCTGCTATTTCCACAGAAATGCAATAGTTCTCCTCGTGTGTGATTTTGCTGTTTTGATGGCACAGAGATGGCTTCTTACAATATATTTGGCTTTGGTAGATTTCAAACTAATTACACTGAAACATTTAATTTTTGAGTCTTTATGGGGAAAGAATACAAAGCAAGGTTCAGTCTGTTCTTGCTTTGTATTGGCCAAAGGACTTGTTCAGTCGTAATAGTTGAATTTGACAGAAGGTACGTGGAACTCAACGTGGATGGCGCAACCTGCTCAGGAAGGTAGATACCTTGATTTTTAGCCAATGCAAAGCTCTTACTGCTCCTGACAGCCATTTTGCCAGCCACTTTTGTAACTAGTTTGGGGGTCTGTGACAGGGAGCACCGCCGGTACCCTAGTAACAGAGAAGTAAGTGGAAAGGTAAGTTGCTTTCACCTTGTGCAGTACAGCTGATCAAAACATGAGTCTGCCCAGGGATCAACTGAACCAGTCTGCTGGCTGCAGAATTCTCATGTGGCTCTTTGGAGGATTCTGTAACAAGGAAATTATTTATAGTTAGTCACAAGGGTGCAAAAAAAAAAGCTACTACTGTTATTAAGTCTAACCATTGTTGTTTGTGTTGAAGCAAGATCGAGGGGCTTTTCATTTGTTGTTTTCTCCAAGTGGGACCTCAGTCTAGTCCATGCCTGGTAACGCATGACTTGGAAATTAGTTTGGGATTAGCAGGGTGAGGACTAGAGTAATTTTTTTTGGAGGGCATCTGCATTTTTCAACACTGTAAGTAGAACTGGCCGGGTTATAAATCAGTGTGTTGTAAGATTTCCAGGAGCCTTGTATCAAAAGGTGCATCAGTTTGAATATCGCTATTTGCACTTCAGCCCCAGCTGAGCAAGCAAAGTACTGCTCACTCGTGCAGTGGAAGGAGTGTGAAAGACTGGAACTCTTTGAGATTCTGTGATGCAGTGATGTAAGCAGAGAGCTGGTTTTCCCACTGAATGTGATATCCTGTGAATGTCATTTAAGCTGAAGTAGTCGTGGTATGCCGTATTCTGTGGAGAGAAGCAAAAATGTTAGGAAATCACTGGTTGCTGATTGTAATGAGGCTTTACATGCCAGTGTTCACTTTGTTTTGTCACCGTAGATAATCTTGTTCCAAGCTTCAGGCGTTTTCTGCAAGCCATAAGCTGTACACAGAAGATTCATTTGTCTCTTTTTTTAAAGATGCTAAACTGTGTGTTGGGCAAATAAGAGAACAAAGCGTCAGGTAGAGTTACCTTCTTTCTTGCTCATATGAGCTGTTATGCTACAAACATACTGCTCTCACATTTATTTCTAAGAAAGGTAATGCAGAATGATTACAGAAGGCATGTCATTTGGAAAAGCACTCATAATACTGTTCTTATGTTTCCCAAACATAGCAGTAAATTAGACAATTCAGCCAACATCATCAAAACTAAGCTCCTGATACAGTCCTTTCTTAGCCACAAATGCTATTAGAATTTTAACTTGGAATGGTAACAGGCAGTATGGAGTAGATGCAGTATTTTTTCTGTGGCAGTTTACTGAAAACATGAGCTGAATAAGATTCTCTGAAGTTCCAGGGGAAAGGTTTCTACACCTTGTTTGGTTTTTTTTTTTCATATATCCCTGACCACCCTAAATACCATGTTGTGATGGTAATGCAGGCATTCGTTGTTCTGTTTGCCTAAATGAGGGCTGTTTGCAGCCCTGTCTGCTGAAGCTGTCTCTTTATGTTTCCATCAGCCAGAACCACAGGAAATAGCCCAGATTTAGTGGGACATGTTATCAATGTTACAATGTTGCCTGTCCATTTAGTAGAAGTAATGGTGTGACAGGTATGCTGACAGCAGCCCAAATTGTGAACAGAGAGTATAATTGATAAAACCCTCAAGTTATGATCTCCTGTGTAAAGATCATGTCCAACCAATAAAGTATTCATCATGCTGCTGCAGATACTAGTAAAAATCCTGCTTCATGTACACTTCGTGAGACCTATGAGTCAAAAATACATCTGTGTTCTGTTACTTTTTAGTAAGTGGGAGCTGATAAGTTTATTTTAGTAAATGGAGACAGAAAACATTTACATGTACTTTGAGAGTTTCCCTATGGACTACATTTCCACATTTTAAGATTTGTTTGTATGTTTAAAAATCTTTTAATCTTCCATGGACTAATTGAAAACCACCTCTTTCAGTATGTGACATTGCCTGAATTGCCTGCTGTTGTGGTCTTCAAAGATGGAACTTACTTTGTTTATGATGGTGAGTAAAAGTGGATGTTACCTTAAGACGAGGTATTTAAAGTACATATGGAGAACTGGAACAGTTAAGATTTTTTTCTGAAGGTTGTGTTGAGGTGCTGAGAAATTCCCCCATTTTATGGTAAATAACAGCTCCTTCATCAAGAAGAGAAAAAGCTAATTAGTTCTTAGGGGGCAGAATGCATTTGAGAAGTAATCAGTTTTAGCAGTAGTGAAGTAGAAGTGGTGACATTTGCTTTGTGTTATCGGTAACATGTAACTTCTAATATTATTGCTTTGCTGACATTAATGCACTTACAAAAGTTATCCCTTCACTCGCTGTCCAAATTCATCATACAGAAAATAGAACTGTTGCTGAAGAGGAGTACACATAAGATAAATTTACAGTTCCAAACAGTGAATCAGATTTCCTCTAAGTGCTCTTCCTGACAGTCAGATCTCTCTGTCCTGAAGTTAACTTGTTTTTTTTTCAGATCTGTACTCCGCTCAGAGATTGCATGAAAGGGTCCAGTTTGAGCTCTTTGTGCCTTGGCCATACCAGCTTGTAGTTTCTTAGTGCAACAAGCCTTCCTTGTGAAGGAAGAGGAAACTGGTCCTGCCATTATTGCCAATATTAGAACCTTCCCTGAGAGCTTTAAGCATCCATGACTTTCACGTTTGTGTTACTGGGATGTGGGTAGTGGGAGAGGAGCAGACAGCCTGTCCTCTCCCTGTGTAACTGACGGAGCGTGCGATGTGTACGTACAGCGGTTGGCCATTCGGTCTGGGTTTCCCTTCCTGAAAGGGTCCCTCGCAGACAGAGGTTAAGGGGACGGAGGCTGTGGTCACTGGAGCGGTCGATATGTGATTTGAGGCTGGATGAACTACTTTAACTGGCTCGTTCAGCATGCAGGCTGTAGAGCGGCCCCTGAGACTAGCAGCGTTCGTCACACCACTGACAGCAGTGCACCTGCCACTTACCTAAAAAGGGTGCATTCACACGTATGGATATCCATATGGAAGTGCTAGGTTAAGCACGGGCTTTATGGTATAGTCTGAGTCTGTTAGATGCATGTGCACATCATGGGTTGGCTTGTATGTGCACTGCTTATTTACAGAAACATCTCCTCTCAACTTGGATTGTTTTAAATGCAAGGTTTTGCTTGAAGTTGAAAACATATCATTTGGAAGTTTATTCTGCTGTTTTAATTTCTGAGGGTCATTAGTACCATGGCAAAATACTCTAGATGGGCCATCAAGTATATGCTTTGTGATTTCGCAGAATGACTGTACTTGTCTTCCTCTTCAGTCTGTTGCGTTGCCAGTTGTCCTCCAAATACAAACTTGATTTGCATTTGATTTTTTTTTTTTTTTTTTTTTTAAAATGGGCCTGGAAAAGGAAAGCTTGTCAAAGAGAAATGCTTCTGAATTGCTTTTTGCTGTGTGGCCCCTTCGCTTTTTCCACACCTTCTAGAACACACACAAAACTCCTAATAATCCAGGCTTCTAATTTACTTCGTAAAAATTTTACTCTTTTATAATGTACTAGAAACGTTATTGTAAATCAGGTTACAAAGACGCAGTTTAAGAGGGTGGATAAGGTCATATGTGCAGAAATTCGAAGAGCTCAGTCTAAGGAAAAAGTTTAGCAAAATCCATTTCAATGCTCTGGCCTTGTTTGGTGTTTTGTTTTGCTTTCTTCCACATAGTAGGGGAATGGGGTGCAGATCTCTGGGAAGCCTTGTGCTTGCTATAGTCTTATGACGATCAATTATTAACCTGAAGTTACTGATAATTCACTCTATACAATAGGATACAAATTTATTTAATGTGCATTTGTATATATGTGTCATATATATGTTTATATACATTTTTCTTGCTTACTTGTGATTGAGATCTAATTATAATGGTGTTGGTGGTATGTGTTGGAATTTATTCTTTACAGGTTAAAACCTCTAGCATCTGAAAGTGTAGCCTGCAGAATGACTGGTTCTGAATCATATGTAAATATTTGTTCATTTACATTCACAATGCTGTTAGTGCATCTGCTTCTTCTTAATTTCTTTCTGTATCATAAAGACTTGCACAAATACTGCTTTCTGCAGTTTTGTATCTCTTTACTTTGTTTGAAGCTTGACCCTCTCCTTTAAAAACAGGGATTGAAACGGTTCATTTCTGCACTGGGTCGCAGTTATCTTCTAAAATAGTATTGTTTATCCTTGATTTGGGAAAAAAATAATCATCAAATCAGCTTTTCATGCTTTGCTATCACAGAACGGTGGGGGTTGGAAGGGACCTCTGGAGATAACCTAGTCCAACCTCCTGCTAAAGCAGGATCACCTACAGCAAGTCACACAGGACTGCACCCAGGCGGGTTTTGAATATCTCCAGGGAAGAAGACCACCACCTCCCTGGGCAGCCTGTTCCAGTGCTCTGTCACCCTTAGTGGAAAGAAATTTTTCCTCATGTTGAGGTGGAACTTCCTGTGCTCCGGTTTGTGCTCGTTGCCCCTTGTCCTGTCACTGGGCACCACTGAGAAGAGCCTGGCCCCATCCTCTGGACACCCACCCTTTAGATATTTATAAGTGTTGATAAGGTCCCTTCTCAAGTCCTCTCTTCTCCAGGCTAAAGAGCCCCAGGTCTCTCAGCCTTTCCTGGTAGGAGAGATGCTCCAGTCCCATCATCATCTTCGTAGCCCTCCACTGGTCTCTTTCCAGTAGTTCCCTGTCCCTCTTGAACTGGGGGGCCCAGAATTGGATGATACACTTGCTTTTTGTTCAACAATTGAAAATAGCTTCAGAAGTTTTAAAATTGAAATGTCCAGAAACGTGTGAGATCTTGTCTAACAACAATAGAAGGAAAAAAGGGAAAAAGTAGCATTTGCCCCTATAGTACTGAAATAAATAAATGTGATTGCCCACCTTACAAAAAAATTTTTTTTAATGCATTTCTTTTTTTTCTTCTTTTTAGAATATGAAGATGGTGATTTGTCATCCTGGATAAACAGAGAAAGATTTCAAGGTTATCTTAATGTAGATGGCTTTACACTGTATGAGCTTGGAGATACAGGTGAGGTACAGCTACCACTAAACTCTTTGGTGTCTCTTGTACTTAGCACTAAGAAAAATTAAGGAGTGCTAAATGTGGCTTTTAAACCTCAAAAATTAGTTAATCACAGAGTTAGAACTGATAGTGCCAATGCTTTTTTGATGTTGGTGAGACCTCTATTGATTAGAGGTTTCATCCAAAGCCTACACTAGTCCTTTCCTCGCAGCGTAAAAATTAGTATGTCTAATGTTGTAGTATTCACAAAAAAATTTTAGGACTTTTAATTTAAGAGCAGCTTAGGTTTCGCATAAATTACATACTAACTCTTGGACTACCTACGGGGAATTTTATGACTGGATTTGGAAGCATCAGATATGGATTTAGATATGTCTTAGATCTAATGGATACAGTGAGGAAGGGAGGAGAGCATGTACCAAAGTGGACCTGTCCTGGAATATTCAGCTTTTCTCGAGTAAAAGTTTTTGCAAGCCAAATGAAAACTTTGCAGCCAACTGACTTCTGGAATAGGCGAATGACTTGTACTGCTCTGTTCAATGTACGTACTCGGAAGTATGTACTGTGTGTATGTTGTACGTACTCAGAAGCAGCAGAAGAAATGCTGTAAGTGTTGATTTTTCCAGGCCAGGATACCTTATAACCTATGTTCCATTTCAAAAGAAAGATGTTTCTATTCAGTGCGACATTGAGGTCTTTCAGGTTTTAAAGATTATAAAACGTCTGGGTTCTTACATGTTTGTGAAACTAGTATTGTTACACCTGTATTTTAAAAGGTTATCTATAAAAGTGCTGTTACAAATTGTTAAATGTAGCATATTTCTTCCTGGTACACTTTTGTCTAATAATTTCTCAAATTACCAAAAAAAGAGTAATTATGAAATTATGACTTTAATAATACAATGGAGAGGGCATCATTTGTTTTTTAAGAGTTTTATGTATAAATACACAGTACCTGGAATTTTTCTACGTTTTCTTTTTCAGCCTCAAAAGTAGTTGTCTCCTGCTGTATTCAGTAGGTGATGTCTTAGGGTGTGGAAGGAAATGGGGAAAAGTGAGAACTGAGGTATGGAAGAAGCGGGGTGGGGGGAAGCTGTTGCTCTTTCACGGGAAAGCCTGGGCATAGATCATTGTTCTTGCCCTCAAAATTCTTCATTTATTACTTGAACAAGAGTGAGTTTCTTTTTTTGAGGGGAACGCTTCCTGTGGCATGGTGGTAGGTAGCACTGAGCCCTAGATTGGCTTGGTGGGGAGGTGGGGAGTGACTCATGGCATCTAGAGAGGCTTAATGAACTGTCCTTCTGCACTCCAGAGGCTTTAGTTAATCCAGCTGATGACTACACTCTTAACAGATCTGCTTTCCTAACATGAAGTACTTGATCTGGAGAACCTTTGGCCAGCTTTCCAAACATATTTTGATCTGGTTCACCTTAGGAGGCTTTGGGTTATTTTCTTTTAATCGGAAAAACTTCACAAAGTGAATCATGAAAAGTTCAGTATATTCTGGTGTTTGGTCTTTAAGCTCCTCTGACAGGGATCTGTGAACTATGTTGTTTTTCTGATGTAATGGATTCTGGGCTCTGCCAGTAAGTTTTCCATGTTGTTTTTTTTTTTCTGTGAGGATAATACTCCAGATTTTCAGTAGTGTGAAAAATAGTCATTACTGAATCCATACAGTAGTGATTCAGTCACGTAGAATCAGCTTGTAATTGCCATTATATAATAAAGGTTTCCACTGCCTCACGTTTAGGTATATGCAAATATGCATATTTGAGTAGGGAATTAATTTTTATCTCTGTTTTTCCCCTTTTAGCTTCTTTCTGTAGACAGGCTTTTCACAGAGTGCTAGTGGTGTGGCATTAAGCCACATCTTAATTTATTTTCAGTACCTTTAAGAAAGTCACAGTTTGGTCAGCTAGAAGAGGCTATTTGGCATCGAGGTTGGTTTATACTTAAAACTAATTCCTCTCCCTGGAGAGTATCTGATCTTCTGGGTTGGAGTATTTTCCATCTGAGAATGCACATTTCTTTTTGAATGGTTTCAAGTTGTTGTTTTTTCCTTATTTTAGGGAAACTTGTGGCTATTGCAGTCATTGATGATAAAAACTCTTCAGTGGAACATACCAGGTACAGAACTGAGTATTGGTGACCCTATGGGAGAAACGTGCTGGTACAACAGAGAACTTTGGGTTTCTTAAATAATAAGGAATGAATGGTTTAACTTGTGGGTGTTCTCTAATTCGTGACTTCAGCCTACGGAATTGACTTAATTTATGGCTCTGTTAAAGCACTGTGAGTTCAATGAGATGGTGGGAGTTCCTGTGTCACTCTTCTGCCGTTTGTTAATCACATCACAGGAGCAAACAGGGACCACGTAGCTTTTCATAGCTATTGTGTCACCTTTTAAACAAACACGAGTACTTGAGTTCAGATGACTTTGAGGTGAACATAGTAAGTTTAAACAAATAACTGTTCTTCAGCTCAGTTGCATTAAAAATGGATTTAGTCATGCTTATTTATTGGTTGTCTGTGGAATTTATGTTAAGAAGGGGCATTTTCAGTTGGGTTGGAGTTTGCTGAAGAGACTGAGAGGAACAAGACCTTCCCCTGTCCCTTTCCGGTGGCATACATAATTAGACTAATAAAATACTGTTCAAGCACTGTGTATGCTATTTTCCCAGACCTCTCTGGATTTTCTTCAGAGTCACGGTGCTGCATCTTCAGTAGGCAATAGATGGAGTGAAGCACCCTGTCTGTTTGTGTGTTTGCTCCTGTTGAAACTCTGTGGTAGATAAGTCTTTGAACCCTTAAAAACCAAGCAAGATGAACAAGGTGGTTTTTGTTAATGGAACAGGGAATCCTTATTGCTGATGAGGTACTATCTGCTGCTTACTGGGGAAATCTCAGTGTTTATTGTTTGTATTTTGACAGAGTATATCCTGGATTATCAATGTCCCTTTTTTTTTCCCTCCTCCAGACTAAAATCTATTATTCAGGAAGTTGCTAGAGATTATCGAGATCACTTTCACAGGTAGGCATACATGGTACTGTGCTTTCTTAAATGAACTTCTCCATTAACCTTTCTAAGACAGCAGTCATTTTTTTTTCCTACGTGAAAAATGTTATAGTGCCTGCTTTTATATTCACATACTGATACATAATAAGACCATTCCATTAACTGAGTGTGTTTTGGAATGCTGAATGTCTTGTAGATGGTCAGTTTTTGAATTCTATTGCTGAGTGTGTGCCCTCACCTTCAGTTACAGGAAAAATATCTAAGGAAGAAATTTTGCTGAAACCCATTATTGTGTCTTCTTTTTCATCATTCTGTTTTCCACTGCTTCTCTTACAGGGATTTCCAGTTTGGCCATATGGATGGAAATGATTACATTAATAGTTTACTAATGGAGTAAGTAAATTGTTGTTTGAATATTCTTTCTTCTCTTGTATTCGTTGCTAAGTGTATTTAATTGAAAACAACCTTATGAAGAATTCCTGCCTTTCATGGGTTAAAAAAAAAATTTGCCGTCCTCAGAATTCAGCTGTAACATAGTACCAGTTGTTTGTTAAATTAAACTGCGTAATTTAATGTTGGAAGTGTGGCTTACTGATAATGCTGGTTGGCAAAGTGTACCTTTTAGGTCTACTTTGTTAAATTAATTACTCTATTAGAACTATGGGGTTTTTTCCTTCGTTAGATTTACAGGGCACTACACAAATTGAAAGATGTCAGTTTGTAACAGGAAGTGTAAATAATGGTTATGCATTATCTCTGGTTTTTATTGCTGCAGAGGCATCTTTCATTCTTGATGCATTTTTAAGGCACGTGTAGAAATACGCTGCTACAGAGAAGCAGCATAAAATGCACAGAAGAGGCTGTCTGCAGTTAATATGTACATGATACATTTTGAAATATATGAGTACTTTAACAAGATGCTTGACATTTGCCTTTATTATGATCCCTGCCTAAAGATGCATAGTTAGAGCATTAAGTTGCTTGGCATTTCCAGCTGACCGTTTGCTCTCCTCTGGCCTTTTGACTGAGAGAAGGGAAAAACAGGGTTAATGTGCCAGATCTGTAAGGTTTTAAAACCCCTTCCTTGGGTTTCAAAGCATGAACAAAGCATGTGTTTGAGCTCCTAAAGGTTCTGGGAGCTTCATGGGGACTCAGGAGGCAGGAGGTCTGTATTTCTGTGGAATGTCTGCAGATTAACACCTGAATACAATTAATTTAAAAGCCGCTGTCTCTCAGCTGAAGTTGAGTGATGTGGTTGATGTAGTGCTTTATAGTTGCCAAAAGTGAGACCTTCACTTCATTAATTGCTTCTCCTGTGCAGACTCTTATGTCTGACTGCTGAGCTGTTCCAGCCTGTTTACCTGGCAGATACGTGTTTGCTTTTTTGGTAGGAGAGTAGGAGAGTTATTTTGCTGGTTCAACAAACCCTTAAATGTCTTCCTGTGTGTGTTGCTAAGTACCAGAACTGATGTGCAAAGAAGCAGTGGAGGGAGATGGGGTCCCTGGGAGGAAGAAGACAGAACTGCCTCTTACAGTGGTAGTGATCTAGTTGCAAGATCTGCTCCTCTGGATTGTTTTAACTTAATCTGCAAATTCCTGATTTTATAATTTGTAGTATATGGGAAATGGTTGTTGAAGTACTCACAGGCTTTTGGTTATTTTCTAAACAGAGTATACATTTCCAGCATAAGTGGAAAGCAGCAAAAGTATGCAGCAAAACATGTTTGGTGTTGTAAGTAGCTACTCTTCGTGTGGCTACTTGAATAATTCAAGCAAAACCGTATTGCAAGTGCTTCAGTTTCCCACTTGATGGCAGCAAGTGGAAATAGAAAAAGCTTCCTGAATAGGGAGAAATCTGTTGCAGAATACTTCTTTACAGTGCTAGATGCATATAGGAAGAAATTCTGTTTCTTCACAAAAGACAAAATACTGTATGATTCATGGGGATAGAAGCAGTAGTCCTTCTGTCATCAACCTCATAAGTAGCACTTACGAGCTTGGCTGTGACTCCATTAGTAGACATATAATTTATCTCTCTCCAGCAGTGGATGAACATGCTTTTGTTGGATTAAAAATGGTATAGTTAAAACTAAAGAAGAACAAAAGAAGAAAACAGAATATTATGTGTTTAACTGAAAGCAAAGATGCATCTTCGTGTAAGTGAAGGAATATAGCATCATTGGAACGTCAGCTGTAGGTGTATGTAGAGTATTAATTCCTCAACTCTTGGAAGAAGCATATTAAATGTCGTTTTTTATGAATCTCTGTGAAGCGTATAAAATTTCTATATGGAGATTATCTTTCAGCTGCTCTGCAACCAACTCCAAGAACATCAGTTACCAGACAGTTAAATGCAATACAAGTACTTTTCTTTTCTTTTGGCGGGGGGAATCTTTTCTGCGTCCAACTTGTTCGATTTTAGCTGGGGTGAGGTATTTTGGCAGAGGTTGATAACTTGTTACCAGGCACTTGCAAAAACACCTGACTTGGTTTGGTTGCCTCCTACTTATTTTTTTTGTTTGTTCCTAATAAATAGAGAATAAAAATGTCAAGTGAAAAGTTGTATTTTGAGACTCTTATGTTGCAGGTTGTCACTGTTGACAAAGTTTTGTTGTTTGAGGTTTTTAAAATTCCCTCGAAAGGATGGAATTATTTTGTCATCTCTGTAGTTGGCCTTACATTTTCTGAGGTGCCACCATGCTTTCAACTTGAGTACTGGAACGTGGTCTGCACCTTGAGTCTTAAGGGATTCAACTTTCTAGGAGTTTAGCAAATTATCACGTATAAATATTAAATATTTTCATTTCTAGGATTGGGATTGAATTTAAATTAAAAAACAGACAGACAAAACCCCTAAAATGTGTGAGAAAATTTAGAATAATTTCTATGACCTCAAAGAAAATGGGAATCTTGAGTAAATGCTAAATAGTTTCACGACATAGAATCATAGAATCATTCAGGTTGGAAAAGACCTTTGAGATCAAGTCCTCAGCCGCTCCCTATAAAACCTGTTCTCCAGATCCTTCACCTGCTTTGCTGCCCTTCTCTGCACTCTCTCCAGCACCTCAGTGTCCTTCTTGCAGTGAGGGGCCCAAAACTGCACCCAGCACTCGAGGTGCGGCCTCACCAGTGCTGAGTACAGGGGCACGATCACTTCCCTGCTCCTGCTGGCCACACTATTTCTGATACAGGCCAGGATGCTGTTGGCCTTCTTGCCCATCTGGGCACACTGTTGACTTATGTCCAGCTGGCTGTGGACCAGCATCCCCAGGTCCTTTCCTGCCAGACAGCTTTCCAGCCACTCATCCCCAAGCCTGTAGCGCTGCATGGAGCTGTTGCGACCCAAGGGCGGGACCCGGCACTTGGCCTTGTTGAAGCT